TGTTGTTATAAAATACTACATATTTACTGTAGTAATCAGAGATATATTAAAGGTTAGCATTAAAATTTGCCTATTACCCCAGCATCCAGAGACTTCTATTATTGTTGTTGTTGTTATTGTTGTTATTATTATATAATTTCAATAAATATCATGTTATCTATTCTTTTATAAACTGTTTTTCTATGTTAGTACATAGTATTGGATTTCAATTTATAGAGCTGCATATTACATATGGAGCTATTTTAAATTCCTTAACTAATCCACCATGGGTTTCCACTGTTTTGCTGTCTTCATTAATGGAACTGTGTATTAACAACTCATTACTAATTCCTATGGTTTCATTCCTGGAAACAGAATCACTCTTCCAAGGTGGACTGACAGTCTTCCAGGTTCTGAATGCCCATAGCCAGTGCACCAGAGCCGTGGTACCAAGCTGTCTTACAGACCCTTGTGGTCTTTGAGTATTCTGCTTAATTTTGTTGTTGAATAGCCTTATGGTAAAGAAGGGTCAAGGCATTTCCTATTCTAGTTTGTATGTGTCTGTTTATATATGCAGGATGAAGTCAGGATAGGATTAAAAAATGCCAATAAAGGAAGCTTGATAGCACTGACTATATTGGATTTATAAGGGATAGCCTCACTCAAAAGAGACTGAAATTGTATAAAATGACAAAATAATAGTGGAAAGGAAATATCAGCTGCAAATACTTTAATGGAAAGCTTTAAAGTGTTAGGGGAACAATGCCACTTAGATTCCTCTATGTTTGGCTTTAAATATGTTTGGTAGATGTCTTACACTACCCAAATATTTTTTCCTGTTGTACACAGTATAAAATATTTTAAGATATTTATGCATATTGATTGCCACCTTTCAGTTATTCAGTATGAAATTCAAAGACTTTGTATACCTGCATATTTAATAGAATCAAATTCTTCAGTGGTGTGTGTGTGAGGGGAGGGAGCAGGGGAGGATTAAGCGCTTTGGAAGTAATAAACTTGGTCTCCAGAAACTGGCAGAGAAGGTAAACCATTGAGAATACTTCTAGATCCAAAGGGTTTAAAAAATAATTATAAAAATTGCTCATCTATTTTAAGCTTTAAGAGAAAAACATCTACCTAAAATTGGAATTGATTGACTAGGAGAGTTTGATTGCTTTATGCAGTACTTCACTCAGCCACACTGCATCTCAATTCAATAGCTGTCTACTAGGGAACAAGCAGGAGTTAATTCGGACTTTCAAAACGTTCGGTTAGGGCTACCAGCGCCATTCACCATGCACGGACCCTGAATGTCACAGTGCTATGAACTGCGGGAAAAGCTTATGTTACCTTAGAAGAGAAAACTGTTCTCTTTCTCGGCTTTTTGATGATGATATAGAGAAAGCTTGAAATAATACCTCATAGACTAAAATCCACTGGAAGTAAGAAATTTAGACAGCTGTGATGCATGACCATGCAATAAGTCATAAATTCTCATTATCATTAACTTAATAAGGACAACTACATTTTGCAGCCTGGAGGAGTTTTTCTTAGTTATATCCTTATATTGATACATTAAAAATCATTTATTCTCATTTTTTTAAAAAAAAGGTTCATAATATATTACTTTGATTCCATTCATTTTATGGATAAGAAATAATATTTCTATGATACTCAATTACTGAGAAGAAATATTTTTAAATTGTATAATATAATAGTACATAACCAGTCATTTTTCTTTTAATCATACACAATACTTCAACTGTACACTATAGTTTCTATGAGTTTCAACTGCAAATTGCTCTTTAGCTGTAGAGTCATGGATAATGCTCTATGAAAATCAACAGTGGAAGAAGGAGAAGGGGGGAGAAGGTACAGAAAATAAGTAGCATAGACAGTACATAGAAAATAGATGGGGGGGAGGGCAAGAATAGTATGGGAAATATAGAATCTAAAGAACTTGAGACACGTGGTCATAAACTAAAGGGGGGTGGTGGGGGAGGGGTGTACAGGGTGGAGGGGAATGAAGGGGGAATAGAACAACCATAATGGCATAATTAATAAAATATATTAAAAATATTAAAATTAATAATATAAATAAATAAATAAATAAAAGAAAATCAACATGGAGAAATCCTACAAAGGTTTATTCCTTTTAGGAATATGTCAAATGGTTACTTTGAAATCACTGAGAATATTTTTGAAATAATCATGAAGAGGATTAATAATTTGGACCATTAGGTTCTACTGCATGAAAAAAATTAAACAGGATATTTGAAAAGCAGTTATGGATAATGCACTTTGTATAATTTGTATCAGAGTAAGAAATATTCTTGCTCTGTTATTTACACTATTGGTTAACACAAGCTCCTTTGACTGCCCTTTGCTTATGTGATAGAGTATTTTACCTAAGTATGTCCTGGTATGAAAAACAAATAAACCAGCAGTATAAAGGAACACAAGTGAAATTTCAGAATAGTGTTTGAATAGTTCTCTTATAGTTGTAACACTTTAAACTGAGAAATCCCAAAACGAGAAAAGGTAAGATTCTTATTTCTACCTCTAAATTTTAAAAACGTTAATGACATCATTATTTTGGGTCCACTTAAAGCAAAACATAGATTTGATTTTTAAAGATTGCCCTAAGGTTATAAATTTGAACTTATATTCCTACTAATAATCAAACTCTGTCCTATTTTGCTTTATAATTTTAAAGTGTATGACTGCATATCTTATTCAGTGACCCTTTGATCTTCCCTTTAATGACATTAATTTATATACAGCAGTACTAAATTTTTTCTCATTCATACATTGATTCATTTATTTATTTCACCAAATGCCTCCCATACGCCAGGCATGGTTCTAGGCACTAAGGGTTATGTATTTAAGAAAGAACGTTCTTACCAAAATGGCACTTACATTCTAGCTGGAGTTAATGTGCTGAAGCCTCACTCTATATGCTTTCCTTGCTGAAGAAGAGTTGATTTCAAAGCAAATTCACCTTACGATCATAAATTTCCATACCATTTTATTTCTAAAAGAACAGTTACAGACTGCTAACAGCAAACACAAGAAACACATCTATAAATTTAGCAGTGAGAAAATCATTTCATTTACTAGAGTTTATCAGACTACAGAATTGGGGAATATTAGGAGAGACTTAATTAGCATTGGTATAATCACCAGTTGGATTTAAGTTAATGTCCTAATTTCACTGGCTACATAAAAAACAACAACAATGTAACATCTAAGTGTGGATTATAGATGTTGAGATGCTCAGAAAATGCCAGGAGAATCGTTACCACTCACAGTGGTCTTCAACTGTTCATGCTAATATTATAAGACTTCACAGTCAGATAAGTCATTGAAATATACTGTGACTTTGCTGCCCCGAAATAGATTGCATTTTTTCACTGTAGGTGGCTTCTTTGCCATAAAGTTCATGTTTCCTTTGCCCCCTTAGTGTTCTGATTTTAAATGTCATCTTTGCCCTTCCAGATCATTTGTTATATTTTTTTACATTTTGATTTTGGTAGAAAACATTTCCATTGCTCATTGAGATGATGCAGTGCAGGGCATTTGGTTTTTTTCAGTGAGGTGTGAGGGGCTCTGGCTCTCTGCGTGCTTCATCAGCAGAGAGAGACTGACCCGAATGTCTACAAGGATGTGAATGGGCTGTCATCTGTAGCTTAGTGACAAATCTATAAACTTGGAGCCACAGTGATCACTGAGGGATGTTAATTTATCTGTAAAAGAGGCAAAATATATGTGTTCTTCTTGCATCAAAGTTTTATTTTAAGGCTTGAATAAGATAACAGTATCATTTTGTAAATATTATACAAAGTTTTACAAGCTATAACTGGTATTATTCCAGTTTGCTGTTAGTGTCTGTTCATCGCTGTTATTATAAGATATGTATATGTATTTAAGGATGCATCCCACCAATCTTTGAATTATTTGCTTAAATTAATCCATTGTTTTTGAAGTGCTATTTACTCATTTTTGGATCTATAAGGAAACGATGTCATTCCCTTAATCACTGGTCACCCATATTGAACAGCAGATACTGTGAAGTGACTTCCCAATGACTGAATTCATAATGAACCCAGTAGGGACGGAAAACCCACTGAGCCTCAGAAGTAACGCATCAGATATGGCAGAGACACTTTAACGACAGTCATAAATAATGACTGCTCCAAAGCCCAGGACCAATAGCACTTCCTCTGGGGATGAACCGAAGCCTCTGTCATTCACTGAGTCTCTGAGTGAAGGGCGATTGTGGGAAATTAACAAGGAAGTGGAGCCCTTTCCTGTAATAATACAAAATGATTAAAAGGACCTAAAAAAATCAATTGACTGATCAATAGTGTGTAACTGCTTGGAGCATTTTTCCCCATGCTAATCAGTCTTTAAGTTGTTTAAACTAAACATTTCCAGTGTCTCCAATTACTGAGCTGATTTACAAGACTTGGTCAAGGGTGCCAGAGCTTCCTGGAGCCCGATTCCAGGGCAGTCACCCTTGGAGAAAGATGACAGTGACGTGTAAATGGTCCTCTCTCACTGTGGATTAAGAAGGTTCTTTAAAAGGAGGGTATGCTGGGAGATGTTCTCACCTAGTGTCGGCGAATCAGTGTGTTGCTCCCAAGTTCTAAACAGGTATATTTGTTCTAGAATATGGGCGGGGACTTGGTTAATTCAAGAGCAATGGAGGTCCAGACGACTATATAAACGTCTATACATTATAAATGTACAGGCCTTTAAAATATCTTTTTAACTTCAGCCATTGTGAGCAACATGCTGCAAACAGGACTCCAAATTCAAACCGACCAAAGGTATTCTAATAACACGTGTGAAGTGACCTATGACCTACCTGTGTGTATTGCCAGCGATTCTAGTATCAAAACCACATGTAAACTTTTTCTTTAAAGTTGAATGCCACTGTGGGGGAAAAAACAGCACTAAGAAATAACTTTAAACAGGGGGAAAAACTTTTTTATTGATATGTTTTACTTTGCTGGCAGACCAGAGCAAAGGTTTTGTGAACATTTAAAAGATGAAAAAGGTGAAGAATCCCAGAAGCGGTTTATCTTGAAGCGAGATAACTCTAGTATTGATAAAGAAGACAACCAGGTTGGTTCTCAAGTTTGAGAGTGGCTGACGTTGTTTTTGAAGGTGGGCTGACTGATGTTCTTGTCGTCCCTCTGTCGCCCCTTTCTCCCTCTCCCGACTCTCCCCTGCCTCTGGTACCACCGTCCTCTCTCCAACCTCCTTGCCCGCCTTGCCTCCCCCTTTGGCATTCAATGGGGAGCCACAAACCCATGTCCTGGTTGCTTTAGCAATGGCTCTGTGCTGGGCTGCATGGGTGGTGCTTGGCGCAGTTCCTGCTGCATGAGGTGGGGGGTTGGGATGTCACCGGCTCTGAGCTGTTGGGAAAAGCTTTGTCAGTCGCATTTCCAGATGTCTGTGTAACTATGGCAGTCGTTCCACTCCCTACAGCTTTGTCCTTCAGTTGTGCACAAATTGAGCTGGATTATCAAAATGGACCGATGATCACCTGGTGTAGCTGTAAAGAACAAACCTTGTTATGGTGAGGACAGGTGGATTTTGCAACTATCCTACAATAATAAGTCTCCACACAAAAGAATCAAGTTCATGTTTTAGTCTCCCAACCCTTCTCCTTGCCATGTTTTATTGTCCGTGCAAATTGTCTGCTTGTTTTGCATGAACTGTAGCACAACTCTCTCTTTCTGTGTATTTTGCTTGTGATAAAACATAGTGTGCTTGTAGGGTAGCCTGACTCATGGTACCTCGATAAGGGTAGAGGTATTTTGCTGAATTTCTTCTCCACGTGGGGGTGTGGGATCCAGGGCTATTAGGAAGAAAACTGAGTAAATGGCAAAAAAAAACAAGTTTTGCACAAGAATGAGAACAGTAGAAAGTCACAGAGTGCCATTATACTTTGTGTCTCTGACAATCAAAATAGATTTTTTTGAAAATGACTTTGCTTTAAAATTTTTAAGGGCACGATAATAAGCATCTCACTCAAGTTATTATTTTAATTACACTCAGTGAGTCACTGAAAGGCAGTGTGTGCATCTGCGACATATTTTAAAAAAAAAGAAACCTGTTCATCATCGTATCTCATTTCCTCTCACCACCACTGGGCTCCACCGTGGCTCGCGTTGACTCTGAAACATACCGGCGTCGTGTGCTGAGTGGGTGTTTGTTGAATGGACGGATGAACGTGGCTAGGGCCGAGCTTTGGTGAGGAATGGCAAGAGGAAGATGGGAGGGTAGGTGAGGTACAGGACGAGGTTCAGATGGAAGGATGAAGAAGAGGAGTCCTCATGCTGGGTTCTTTGAATTGTTACCTTACATTTCTTGATATTGACCCTGATCAACCAACACATTTCAAATTTAATTCAAGTGCCAGATGCAGTGTCACTGAGTGAATAAAAAGACCAGGATATAGAGCAATAGTGTCCACATCCTCCTTTCCGCTCATCAGTTCTTGACTCCGTTGCTTTGTGTTTCTCCATTCTCCAAGGTTTCTAAGCCATTTCTTCCCCTAGCCACCTTGATCTAGCCATCACTTCTTTTTTTAACAACCAACATCCTACTTCCTTCTGAGAAATCAAAATCACACAAGTTAGCAAAGGGGGTAGAGTCTTTCCCTGGTGAACTATCACGTAGCCGAACTCACCGAACACCTGAGGGACATCCAGGTACTCCCATTACAGAAACACCCATGCTGCTTGCATCCAGCAAGGAGGCAACCAGGAGTGGCAATCATGTCCTGGTATTGCATGTCATGCACACACAGCACACATGCACCCCCCACCATGGCTTCCTCAGGGACCAGAGGGAGTGAGGCTTTTCATGCCCCATTTGTTTAAGTGAACATTTATTACCCTTAGCTGACAGTTGCTTAACCGCAGACTTCTAACAGCTCAACTTGGATAACCCTCCTGATTTCTTTTTTCTGTTCAGCAAAACAGAATGCATCCATTTAGAGATGACAGACGAAGTAAATCAATTGAAGAGAGAGAAGAGGAATATCAGAGAGTGAGGGAGAGAATATTTGCACACGATGTGAGTAGTTGTTTTAATTGCCTCTTTAGTGCGGTCCTTCCATCAGCAGTAAGGCAGCCTCGCTCCCCAGACAGTGAGCTGGCAGGGACAGAGGGAGCTGGAGCCAGGGAACAAGTAGAACTGCGGCAAACCAGAGGTGTTTCTGGAAGAGGCCCCACTTCAGGGAAGCGGTGGAAAGGTAGCCAGGAGTTTGCGCGTGTTCCTAGGAGTGGAAATTCCACTCAGTGGACCTGAGTGGAAATTGAGATATAATTTTGGTCAGTGGAATAGACCTTAAGTACAGAGGCAGGTCGGAGGCCAGATTTGAAGAAATGCCTTCACGTCCACATTAGGCAGCAGAGAGTATGTGGTTGTCTTTTCATACCACTGTTTTGCAGTGGAACTACAAAACGGGAGGAAGAGTCTGCCGATCACACATGCAGAATTTTCTGCATTCTTAGCAAGTAGGAGCCTTTTATTATCTCAACGTTAAATGATAATACTCATTTCCCCCTTAATTTCAGATCAAATTAGTGTTGTAAACAATTTGCAGGGGGCTAATGATAAAACAACTTCTTTTGTTTTTGCTCAAATCCCCACAAATAAGATGTGGTAGAGATTTTTTTTTATCCTTTTACCCACTGTGGTAAAAAATGAGATGCAATTAAAATATATAAAAATTAATAGGTAAAAAGAAGCTGGACTTAAATGCAAGAAAATGACAAAGGCAAGCGATTACCACAGCTGTTCCATTCCATGAGAGCATTTTCGGTGACCTCCTAAAATGCTGGGTCCTTCCCTCTGCAGAAGTGGAGGGGTGAGCTCCTTTGCATAGACTGTGACCAACACCTTGGGATCTACTAGGTCAGGTCAGGCATTGGACCTCTTGCCAGATTGGCTTCTGGAGGCTATTGCAGAGCCGGCCTAGAGATGTAGGCTTCATTGCTTAGCTTGGAGGAGGACTGCTGTCCTCAAAGGTTTCAAGTCTAAGCAGTTTCACCAATCTTACAGTGGCTGTTGGATCCTTTAATATGAAGCTGCAGAGGAAGCAGCCGTCTGCATTGTCTTCACCTTTGTACAGGCTTCTGGTTTCTCTTCCAGATCCTCTCTGTCTTTCTTGGATATGTGAAAATTAAGTTTTGGTGATTGAGTAATCTGGATCAGACCTCTGAAATTAGGACAGTTTGGAGAGAGGGAGGTGGAGGCAGCCATAGTAGGAGGAGGTTCAGTAGAGTTCTAGAAGATTCTGTGCATGTGTAGACTACTTAGATTTTTATCATGGTCAGAATTATTGCTGGTGCAGCCTGACACAAGGAAGGCCTTCAGCTGTGTTTGCTGGACACCAGAACGGAGTGATCAGAGTGTCCCTCCTAATCATGGTAGCGTAAGGATGCCCCCTGTGGACTGGAGGCAGCGTGTCCTTGTCTGGAGAGGAACTTTTCTGGAGTCAGGTTCACTTTTTATTCTCTCTCTCCCTCTCTCTCTTTTTCTCCCTCTCTGTCTTATGCACACACTCTTACTCATCCACACATACACACATTTCCACTCTTAACTCTGGTTCTGACAATCCACAATTTATGGGTGGATTGTTATATTCAAAAGCAAATGCTAATCATCCAGATGACGTACAAACAACATTATGCTTTTTTCTTCCCAAAGTTGTGCCACGTTGCCAGACAGAAAGTCACATCACCGATGCCTGCGGGTGGGGAGAATGGCCCTCGGGCTGCTGTCCTTTGCTGTGACTCCCCACATCTGCAGAGAGATCTTTGCTGGGAGAGGTATCCGCATGACTTCCCCATGTCCCTTTTAAGATTACTAGAAAGGGACCTGGATCCCAGGGTAAAGATTGGAGGCAGGTGTTGCTGTTTAAGGGCTCTATGGCCACATGCTGTGTTAACATTTTTTTTTAAGTGAAAGCAGGCTTAAAGGTGGGAAAGCGTCAATGCCTGGCCGTTGCCCTAGCCAGAGCATTCCCTGAAAGCATCTGACAGCCTTTAAAAGGCCACGGCCTCTTCTCCGTGGTAGCAGAGGTGTACGCTCCTTTGATAGGCTTTCTGACGGACCACATTTCTGGCTTCACTAATCCAAGCTTGTTTCTGACATGACTATTCACCGGACCTGTTAGGTCAGGGGGGTTACAACGGGCACAGGCACCCAGGGATCAGAGCTTCTACTCCGTGGGCCTCTCCGTAGGCTGCCGAGCGTCTTTAAGACATGGCAACTAGCTTCCCCCTGTGCAAGTGACGGAAAAGGGAAAGAGAGAGGGCCCTGAACAGAAGACCCAGTCTTTCATAGCCTAATCCTGGAAGTGCCATGCCTTCCCCTGTGTTGTATTCTGCTGAACGTACACTTTAGCCCTGGTGCCATGTGAGGGGAATACTGTACAGGAAGTGAAAACCAGGAGGTGGGGCTTGTTGGGGTCACCCTGCATTAAGCAGGAAACTACTGTGTTTTCCTCTGTTAACACAAACTCCAGGGCATAACAGCCAATTTGAACTTTCTTGGATGCACATAGCAGTAGGTCATTCGATTACTCACACAGAGACAGGACCCTTTAGCAAACCTCCGTCTATGCCATTCTAGATTTCCAAGTGACCATTGCTACTGTCCAGACTGCTGAGGTCCACAGGATCATTCAACTCTATGAAGTCAATTCTAAAATAAGTGCAAAGAATCCAGCATAAGGAAACTATGTTGTTATACACGTCTGATCTTTTTCTTAGCTGGTCTTTAATTTAGTGTTTTCATAATTTAAAATGAGGTAATAAAGCCAGCATTCCTTGCTAAATATTAAGTAGTACTCATTCAAACAGGTTGAAATATTTATATACTTAAGCAGCATTTTTTTGTACTTTAAGTTACAATAGAGAATTATAGAGAAATACTCCCTGGTATTTACACTTTAGCAAAATTCAAACTTCCTTTTAAATTTGATGTGTTCTTGCTAGTTTACAAATGAAATGTATCCTGATGGTGAAGGTGTTTGTGTGAGCGCCTTTGTAAGTAGGCACACAACCAAATGTGCAGGTTACTTTGGGTTTTCTAGGAGACAATTTTCAAATTCAATTTGAGAGTTTTGGTATCTTGAGGTAAGACAAAAATTTATTCATTATTTGAGAATTAAATTCTTTTTTTTTTTTTTCTTTTTTTATTTTTTATTTTTTTTTTTTAATTTTATTTAGTTATTTTTCATGTACAGTTTTTTGTCTATTTTTCCCATCCCAGCCTCCCTGCCCCTTGCTCCCCACCTCCCTCCCATTTCCTCCCCCCCCCCTTAGTTCTCGTCCCTGTGTCCTTCCTATTTGTTCCTCCAAATCCCTCCCCCTTTTTCCCCTTAACTTCCCTTCCTTCTCCCCTCTGGTCACTATCCCCTTGTTCTCTATTTCAGTGTCTTTGTTTTTTGGGTTTTTTTTTTTCTGCTTACTTGTTTGTTTTGTTGTTTAGCTTCCTGTTAAAGGTGAGATCATATGGTATTTGTCTTTCAGCACCTGGCCTATTTCACTCAGCATAATGCTTTCCAGTTCCATCCATGTTGTTGCAAAGGGTAGTAGCTCCTTCTTTCTCTCTGCAGCATAGAATTCCATTGTGTATATGTACCACAATTTTTGGATCCATTCATTTACTGATGGGCACCTAGTATGGATTTTTCTCAGAAAAATAAAAATCGACCTGCCTTTTGACCCAGCAATTCCACTGCTAGGATTATATCCTAAGAATCCTAAAACATCAATATCAAAGAACCTATGCACCACAATGTTCATAGCAGCACAATTTACAATAGCCAAGAGTTGGAAGCAACCTAGGAGAATTAAATTCTTGCAAGTCAGAGCTCGCAAAACTTTAGTTCTCAAAGAATAAATAAATATATTTTGGTAATCAGAAATATTTGAAATATAACTTCTGTTTCCTTCAGCTTGTTTTATGGTTGGTTAATCCTATGCAACTGTTGCTGGTTTGAGGAAGGTTAAGTTAACAAAGCAATCTAGGTGAAGAGGATATGTGTGTCTGGAAGGTAATTTCTGATGGATATTTATGTGTAAAGAGGGACTTGGGGAGGACTCATCCTGTGTGTGTGTGTGTGTGTGTGTGTGTGTGTGTGTGTGTTGGGGGTTTTTTTGTACTGGGATTCCTCCTCAGTGACAACTGATAAGGGCGCCTGGTGCCACCTGGATTGGGGGTGGGACGTGGGAGAGAATTCTGCAACCCATTAGGCAAAATCTTTTTCTCCTTAAATAAAAATGAGCCCTTTATATCTGAGAGTGCGTGACAACTTTGAATGCCACATTAATCCCTGTGACAATTTTATCTTTCTCCGCTATTAAAATGTGCAAGTTATTAATACTACTTATTTTCAAAGTTTATAATCCTCCATTACTGAATCACGTCCAATAACCATTTTTCTCTTATTTATGAAAATGTGGTGGAGGGGTGGTGAGATGATTTTTTATGACCTTTCCACAAAAATCAGAAAAATACTCTTGAGATACATTTTGGGGAAAGTGATCTTTGACCTGCAGGTGCTCTATTTATTTATTTTTAATTCAAAGAGTTTGGGTTGCTTAATTCTTCCCAAAATGCTATTAGATTCACAAGTGTGAAGAGGTCTCAAGACTCCTTTGATCAGCTCCTGGGCTCCTCAGCAATCCGCAAACCCAGCCAGAACGTTCTAACGCTCACTGACCTCTTTCCAATGCCAAGAGCTGAGAGGTACAAAGGAACTGAATTCCTAGTATATCTCTGAGACAATGTCCCTTCCTTTCACTCACCATGACTTGACTCAACCCTGGAGCAAATCCAAACTAGAGGAACTAGAGACAGTGAGATATTGGACTCTAAACTGACCTTCCCAGGCAAAATGAGGTGGCACACCTTTTGCATTTGTTACCCTTTACAAAATTAAATGTCAAATAAAAAAGAGGGGTTTACTGAAAAGCTTTCTTTTTGGTAATTGAGTGAAGTTTTGGCTTTTTTGTTACATAAAATTTTGACACACTTAGAGTTGAGGGTGCATGTGAAAGGCAAGGAGGTTAAAACAGAAATGGCTCTTAGAGACACCCTCACCAAAATGCTCAGACCACTGAGAAAAACATGATGCTCAGAGCTAGCCCTTTGGCTTAGTGGGAGGAAATGATTCCTCCAGTAACAAGTCACGAGAAACCAATATCCTGCTTCCCTTTCTGAGCAGTGGTTACATTAAAGGTATCTTTGAATTCAAGAATTTGATATTGAAAGGTCATTATTGATTTGGTTAGTTTTATTTTACAATGCACCTGTGAAGTCTGTGTTTATCCCTTTAGCAGGTCACTTAGTCATCATTTAGGAAATCTGTGCTATAATATGGTTTGCATATTTATGTTGAGAAACTCAGAACTTCAAAAGTGGTTTTGTGTTAATTCCTAAACACAGTGGCTATATAATAGGACCATTGCACCCTATTTGTTTTAGACTTCTGATTTTCAGCTTGCTAAAATTTAATTTGATCTGCCCTTCTCCCCCATGTAATGGTGATGAGATGTTACCTTCCCTGCATTGTGAATAAACACAAAAAAATTAGAGAAATGAATCCTTGGGGGATGGGAACTAAGAAGAAAATCATTTGGTTTTCTCTGTGAAAAACTAAGAAATCTTACATGGAATGTGACTGTTTTTTTTTTTTAATTAGCTTCATTTCGTTCTCATTTGTCTCCTGCCTCCCCACCCCCACCCTGCCTTACAACCGATTGATGGCATCTCTTGAGTTTTGAGCATCTTGCCGTCAATCTGTTTATTTCAGGAGAGTTTAACATTGCCAGGTAATAACTGCCGGATAGTGACATTGCAGTCTCCCATCCTTGGGCAGATTGTGCCAAGTTCACGTGCTCTGCCTTGATTTGAACCTGTCCTTTGGGCTCTTGGTGGCAACATCTCCACAGCCCCAGAGGAAACTGTTAGCTTGGGACCCGAGGGTCACACAGTTTCTCCAGCAGTTTCATTCACAACATCTCTCTTCTCCTGACCTTGATGCTGAACGGGGTGAATCTATTTGAAACCTGGAGGTGCTCTGATGGAAAAGTACTGTGTGCTGCATGAGACGGGTTTCCATTCTACCTCTAACCTATTTTTTCCTTTTTTATTTCCATTTTTCCTAAGAATGATACATAGTTTTCTTAATTTTTTTCCCTTGGAGGGGAAAAGTAGTTTTAAAATCAGGCAAGGATTTGGGAATCCCTCAACACACCCAGAACGTCTGATACGATGCCTTTCTTTTATTTTTCAGTCAGTTTGCTCCCAGGAAAGCCTGTATGTGGAAAACAGGTAAACTGCAACTTGCTTTTTCATGTCTTTAGAGGAACAGAGTGTGTCCTGTGTGTCCTGCATCCTCATAGATATATATTCCATATAAAAGTGCATGCTTGAATATATGTATAAGTGAATACATATATTTATGTGTGCACACTTATAGATGCACACATAGATGTCATTGAGTACGTCCAAAAATTATTTGATGGAGGGAGAAAACTCCTTTCAGTTACTTCCAAATGTGAGTTTAAATGTATCCCCCCCCATTTCAAGCCTCAAATTCTGGTTCTTCCAACAGCTGTAATTCCTGTTACGTTCACCAGGCGTCAAAAAGTGTAAAAGTTGAGACCACACAGGAACTTGCAGTTTCATTGGCTTATTAACTAGGCTGCTAAAAGTACCTGTATATTTGCTATTATTAACCACTTCGCATGCCCCCTAATTATATATAGCTATACAAATAATAATTTGAATAATATTGTTTGAAGTTTCTCGTCCTAAAGAATCTACCAGTCTTTAGAAAAGGCCTCGCTTGGAAATCTTACCTAAACTGGTCTGGATATAACAGTCTTACCTGGCTTGGGAGTTAGTAGGAGGAGGTGACTGTTATGAGTGAATGTGTTATAAAATTTACACAAAGCCTTGAGCATAAGAGCAGAAATTTTTCAAATTTAATATATACCTTTTTTGAATAGTGCTAAACTGATAGAGGTATTAAAATGCTCCATTGATTTAATTGCAGATTTTTAAGGTGAATGAGGAGTTCTGTACTTGCTATACTAATGGGCAACTTGGAATGAAAATATGGGATTCGTTTTAAAAATGGTGGTTAATTTTATTTCAGGTGTCAGCTTCATGGGTGGTCCCTATAAGCTGATTAAAATACAGGCCATTTGATTCAAGTCCGGTACTTAGAGAAAGTTTAAAGTGGTCATTAGAAATGATTGGTGGAAAAAATGCCATCATTGATATTAGCAATTACAAATCTTCAAGTAAGTCAGCCCCTCAATTGAACAGACTGGTTTTAGAAGAGATCAAACAAGTCTGTGTGAGCCATTCAAAAGGAGAAAAGACTCTTGGACATGGACGGCCATGTGGGGACTCTGGGGGGCAGGGAGTGGGTGGGGGAGGAATATAAAGGGACTAAATGGTAATAAAGAAATACAGTAAAAGAAGAAAAACTGTTTTATAAAAGCTAAAGAAAAAGGAGATTCAGACTGGTACTCCTTATTTTACAGTAAAGTTAAAAATTCATGAGCCAAAACATCTTAGGGATAATTATGAACATTTCCAAAATTTGGTCTTTACCAAAAAGATTAAGCGGGCATTTATAATTGAGTTTAGTGGGAAATCTTATTCCCTAGTCTTCTAGCCAAACATTTTTCCCTATTTCACTCTCTAATTTTATTTATTTACTTGGGTTTTGTACAAAAGACTGCTGATGTATTTGTGTCCTTATATTCAAATGAGATTGTAATTCATCAATACAATAACTGGGTATATATGCATTACATATAAGAACAAGTCTTGATGTTCCCACAAAGTGAATTCCTTACAAAAATAAATATATTTCTTGGACATCTGCCTTTGGAATGCCAATATTTCACTATGCTCGAGAAATAAGGAATAACTTTAATATTACTCAAAGAAAAAATTACAACTAAGACATTGAATTAAATATTTATTATATTTATACAGATTTCTTTCTTCTCCTCTCCTCTTCCATTCCTCCTACTTCCTCATCTCTTCCTTCTCCCTTATCCAGCATCAGTGTCTGAATGCTGAGGTAGGGAAAAATCATGCTACCACTCCTTTATTATCCCAAAATTCAGTGTCATGCAAATAAAACAGCATATGGGGTTGATCTGCAATGGAGGTGTGTTATAATAGAGTACACATCCATTTATTGTCCTTAGGTTTTATATCATAAAAATCATGTTTTTCATTTCCAGTAGGCTCTTGGAAGACAGTAGCATATGCAATGAGACCTATAAGAAAAGACAGCTCTTTCGGTTGGTATGGTTTACTTTTTTAAACTGTGTTTTCAGATTATGTGGAAAAACTAATGTTAAACTCAAGTGTATTACTGTAAAATATCTCTGTTCATGGAATACAGTGTGTTCAGTTATCTCTCCATAAAGCTTGTCATAGAGCCGGTGTTGAAGCCGTGTTGTGTAGTGTGAGGTACCAGACTGGAAAATTATAACTTTGGATATAATCCTCTAGGGTTCTTTCTCTGCTTTTCTTTCTTTCTTTCTTTCTTTCTTTCTTTCTTTCTTTCTTTCTTTCTTTCTTTCTTTCTTTCTTTCTTTCTTTCTTTCTTTCTTTCTTTCTTTCTTTCTTCCTCCCTCCCTTCCTTCCTCTCTTCCTTCCTTCCTTCCTTCTTTCCTTCCTTCTTCCCTCCCTCCCTCAGTTCCTTTCTTTTTTTCTTTCCTTTTTTCTTTTTCTCAAGGGCTAACTTTGCAAGCCCACTGATTTAACATTCCTAAATCAACATTGGTGAATTACAGAGTTAAAATTTTGCTGACAGGTTGCAATTGTATATACATTTCCAACACTGGAAATAAATCGATGATAACTCTGTTGGAGTACTTGATTTTTAGCTACTACTATCCATCACAATATTTCAAACAGTATTTTTAAGCACAGATTTTATTTCTAAAAAAATATGAGATTGCTTACAAGTATAGTAAACCATTTAAGTCAAGATCTTTGTGAGATATCGGTAATGGATGATATGTATACAGAGAGTCATATATATATAAATCTATAATATTAAATTATATTATATTATTATAATTTACTAATGCTAATATAATAATCTTATATAGCTTTAAGTTGTAAACTGTGCCAGAACCTGCATGAAAGCAGAGAGTTCATACCCATGTTCCAGCTACTCTATGAAATGTGTCTCTAACATTCATTATGAAACAAATATATATGTAATGGATGTATTAACATTTTAGTGCTTTTATGAACATTAGCATTCATCTCTGTTTAGAACATGCAAAGTAAACAAACACACAAATGGAAAACTCATGCCTACTTAGAAGAAAAAATTACCAAGAAAAATAAATAGGTTGCGTGCTTAGAGAATATTTTTTTATGCAATAAATCTGAACTTGGGCCCTCATTATTAGAAAAGGAAGAGTAATTTATTCCCTTACACTGTGGTAGAAGCAAAAAACCCTGGGATATTTTTTTTAACTTCCCTCTTATTTCTAAATTGAACTACATAGTCTGATGCCTTCCCCTTGTATTATTAGATACTTTTCACACTTGAAGATTAAAAGAATAACCTCACACTTTTTTTCTTTGAAAGCCCAAAGAAGAACTAGAATTTGCCAGTACTCCTACACTCACATATCATGACCTGGTTTACTTAGCAACATAGATAAAATGTGGGTTCTTGCCCCTTATTGGCCAGTTATTTTTACGTAGCCCTAAATCTGATCCTTAGCCAGAGCTACCATCTACTGAGGTCAGCCATCCTAAATCTGGACACCACTGCCCACCAAAATCACCAAGCACAGAAACTCAGGATGATGATTTAGCACAAAGCCATTCATACAATGGTAAAAATAATTCAAAGTGTACATCATATCTACCTTGGGTTGAAAAAACAATGTCTTCTTCAGCCAAAAATAATAATAAATGTCACCAGTTATGTTAGTCAGCACAGAAACAGAACTTAGAATATTCGCTTTATAATGATTCTAGGATCAAATTCTAGTTATACACAAGAGGGCCAACTCCTCTCATTGGCCAGACATCTCATTGCCAATGTCTTCCTGGTTTCCTGTAGGAGGGGGCAAGGACTAGACTTCACCCACAAAAGCACTGAAAGATTTGTTTTTAATGATTCTTACGAGGTCACACCCAAATAGATATGAAATTCAATTCTGGACCTCCCTTTGGCAGTGTTAAAGAGAATAATCAGCAGATAGAGCATTATAAAACAGTTTCAATGTGTAACTATTTAGAGATATTTATCATAAATTAGAATTATATGCATTGTTCTGAATTTCATTAATGCAAATGTTTAAAGCAGCAACATGAATTCTTTCCTTTAACATGCACAGATTTGATGTGAGATGATGATTTCAATTGGCACAGTAGAAGTAGAGGGCATTAAAAAAACCTTAGGTTGGTCAGGGGATGTTACCCAAGTCTAGAGGAGCTACCCAGTGCTCTGGACACGGTTGTGCCAGAGTAAAGGGTGCAAACTGTAACACCCTAGCTGGTGCCTAGGAACAGTGGTGGACACCTCCTTTGCGGACAAAGACCCAGCCACACTCACATTTAGAGGAAGTCTGGATCCCTCCCAGGGAGGTACAGAGTCATAGGGTGAAAGACCATTGAAACAGAGTTAATTATAAGTCTCCCCACATGGAGATCTTCCTTCTGACACATCCCCTGTGTTGTGATAAGAACCACCCCAAATCTTTTCCTATAATAAACACTCCAAATGAGCTACAACTGAGGTAATTGTCACATTCTTTGTACATTTATAGCTGCTAAATAACATTTAGGCAGGCTTTGTCAAAGATGGGTCAAATTCATCAGAATGGAATGGGGAAAGAATGAAGTTGAGTTTGGAGAATGAACGAGAGACCAATTGCTAATCTTTCCAGCAGAAAAAACTAGTTTTTCTCCAGGCCACCTCCTCTGGCTTTCTTAAATTCCAAAAGAGCTTAAGAACTAAAGTCACCTGGCCATTGCTGAGGATTTGATACTTCCTACTCACAACCTAGTCTTTCTTTAGATGGTCCTTGTTTCTAAAACCAGCCATCTGAGGTCCTCTGAGAGCAGAGAGAGTGTTTGTAAGAAAACACCGGCGAAGGACAGGAGGGCACTGAATGCTTTTCGTCTCGTGAATTTTCTGCTCCACCTCCTCCCCTCACTCTACGAAGTTCCTATCACACATTAGCTATTTCATTTTTATTATCTTTGGGTCCATTTTACCTTCTTCCATTTTCATGCAATAAAAGAAAAAGTTTGGTAAGTAAAGTTGAAGTAAAACCTGAAATTTTCTGCACACCTTCTTTACAATCTAGCTGGCACATGTTTCAATCAGATACGCTTACTTCTAGCATCTGGACAATTCATTATTGTCTTCAGAAGAATATTTATTAGCAAAGCTACTGCTCACATCTGTGAGATTTGGATCAAGATCGAGTCTGTCACAAAGCACAGTGATAGGAAAACTGGGTTTATATCTATTGCCTTTGATTTATATCCCCTTTCCTTATTAATAATCCATGAGAATCTAAGAATATTTTAATGATCCATTATTTCCAACTCCAGAAAAATCTTTGAAAATATTAACTAAGTTACTTTTAAAAAAAACCAATGAAAATGCAAATTTCATCCACTTCTCTAGGAAAGACGCCATACAGCTTGACACACTGGTTAGAGGTTCTCTGGAGTCTTCAAACTTCACTTCTGTTGGCTCTCGTCCAGTACATTTACTCTTCTTCTATTTGAATTTTGGACAAATGTGTTATTTCACCTGCGGAGCTTTTTTTTGTTATTCTTTCCATTGATCCTCTTGACATGTTTCATGTCAGTGTAATGTTTGCACCATTGTTACTATCAAAACAACAGGATTCAAAGGCTCCTTCCTCTGCCTGTGAAGGTTAAACGCGCCGGGCACAATTCTCCCCAGAGGTCGGCAGGGTAATTTTGGTCATTCTGTGCTGTGTCAGAGCCTGTGTGAGTTCAGATACATAGCTCATAAAATTAGAAAACAAATTAATAAATGGCTTTTCTGGAAGTGTGTGCGTCCCCCCTTAGTCCAGCTATTTTATGCTGAAGGAAGGAAGAACACTCTTCTTCTTCAGCGAGAGTTGCTTTTAGGATCATTCAAGATCATAAGCGTTTCCAAATATTGATTTATGGTTGACTTAGGTCAGGAGAATTTACCTTCCCTCCTGCCCACAGCAGGAGTTTGCAATAATGTTTTGTACCATATTTTTCCAGTCGTTTCTCCTTCACTGGCAGAGGGATCCTGTGACATTTGTAGGTTGGATTTTCTTCCCTTTGTGACACGAGTGTTACATGTGATGTGTTATCTGTCTGCACATGAATGAGGTATCCGTGGCACTATTTGTGAGGCCACAGGTCTAATGGTAAGGGTTGACAAGAAGGGTCTCGTGTAGATGACTCTTCCGGGAACCGTCCCACTGGATATCCACACTGTTCACGGAATGTAACGCTGTCCCTGTGCATTCTTCCGATGGCCCTGCTCCAGGGGGAACAGAGATGGCTCGGGGAGGACGTCCGGGAGTCGGCAGAGCAGCTCAGAGAATGAACTCAAGTGGCCCGACCACCAGCGGGCCTGGAGCAGCACAGACTCCGACAGCTCCAACCGCAATCTCAAGCCCGCCATGACCAAGACGGCGAGCTTTGGGGGCATCACGGTGCTGACCAGGGGTGACAGCACATCCAGCACCAGGAGTACCGGGAGGCTCTCCAAAGCAGGTAGGTAGAACTGCAGGGGGTTAAGTCCTGTGGCCTTTTCTGAATTCTGTCCAAGCTGTGCAGTCACCGTCCCCTCTGACTTTGAGTTAACTAATGTTAGCTCCTGGGATAGACTGAGGTCCGAATGTACAGTTTTAATACCAATACTGCCTCTTGCTAGCTGTGTGCCTCAGTCCATTTATTAACCCCTTTAATCTCCAGTGTCCTCATCTATAAAAGAGAGGTGATACTAGAATATTAGTCTAACCCCCCTCAGTAGACTATTGTAGGTTTAACTCCAGTCGTTTATGTGAAAATGGTTACCAAGGCACATGTACTAGGCAATTATTTTACAAAAGTTAGCCTTTTGAAAAGTTAATACTGTGAGTTATTTCTTAAAACCACATTATAAGGTAATTAGGATATGAGTAGTTTCCATTCCTGCTTTGGCATGCAGTTAGGATCCTGGGTAAGGTAGTTAAGCTATTTGTGCTTCAGTTTCCTCATCGGAGCAAAGGGAATAATAATGGCACCAACATTGCGAAGTAATTGTTAAGACCAAGAATTAATATACTCAACCAATATTTGGCAAGGTATTAGCCTTCAGGAAACAGCAGTTCTTGTTTACTTTTATTATTGCCATGTAGTGTTTTCCATTCCTGCATTGCACATAAGGAAGGTGACCCTCAAAAGGTTTGGAGTTTCCGAGTTACTGGGCTCATGCATCTGGTTTTTATTTCTGTTTTTTTCTCTTCTTAATGAATAGCGATCTACTGAGTTTAGTAGTTTAAGTTTGCACGGACAGTCTTTGGGAGTCCATAATGATGACAGATCTGGAACCGTCAACTTCAAAGAACTTTAAGCTGATGGAAACATCTGCACCTCAGGGTTCATATTAGCTCTTCTGTGTCCCAAGAATCCCTCACCATTGTTTACAAATGGCTTTGAAATGTTTACAATTACAATATCTCATACAATCCCAGGAAAGTAACAAGCGACCCTTCAGGAGCACTCCGTGAACTTAAGTGTTTATTTTTATTTATATATTTATTATTATTATTATTTTAACTGAATTTATTGGGGTGACATTGGTTCGTAAAATTATATAGGTTTCAGGTGTACAGTTCTGTAATACGTCATCTGTATATGGCATCGTGAGTTCCCCAGCCAGGTCAAGTCTCTTTCCATCACCACTGTATAGTATGTACTGTCATTGTTTTTGTTTAGCTTTGGTTTTGCTTTGGCAGTTCAGAGGCCCTGACTCTCAGCTAGGGTAGGAGCACGTGTTGTGATTCCCGGCTGAGCCTTGTGCATTGGGGTGCACTGGTGGTGCATTCATGGCCTGGGGCCGCAGGTGAATGGGAGGCCAGGGCCGGGAGGGTAAAGGTGAATGGACAACACCAGCCAGAGGTTAGACATGGGCTACCCTAGGCTGCGAATGCTTCCCAACCAAGCATCACTCACACTGAAGGGTGTTCTATGAAATTGAGGCTGATTATGCTAATGCTTTAACATAATTATGTTGTTGACAAATGCCTCCTGAGAAATTATCTCATGTTTTCCTACATAGGCAGGGAATTAATAGCATTTAGTCATAGTCACTACTTATATATACATATCTTGCTTCCTGGCAAGATTCAGGTGGGCTCACACTGCCTTCTGTCATTTTTATTTGCCAATTGGAGAATTCTTGATTTCTAGCTCTAATTAATTGCTCTTATATTCCACTATTGCAGCAATGAAAGTCAAAAAATCCACTGTGGTGCACTTAAGCTCTTGTAAACTAAGAAAAGTTCAATAGTTTTAAATCTTCAAAAGCAGAAACCAAGTACCTTAAATGGTGCACTTGAAAATTCCAGTACACCAAAAGAGCTCTTAGGAGTTTTAAATTAATTGTCATCTCTATTAACCAACCCCCAATCATGTCCAAAGCAAAGCTTTTTGGGAACATTTAAAATACCTCAAGAATGCTAAAATGCCATGTTCTTTGAAGAATGGTTAGAAATTTTAAGTGCCTCAAACATTTTTTAAAAAAACATAAGTGTCTCCATTTGAAAACTTGTCAAGGTGCAGGAAGGGAAAGCGAAAAATATATAAAAATTAAAGGAGATGAAGCTAGGATGTCAAAACAAACTCACAGCTTCCCAAGATGGTTTTTATGAAGCCACACTGTCAGTCTTGCTGTCGTGAGACTTTAGAACAGCACAAGTTTCCTATTTTTTACCTCATCACACACAGTGGGATTACAAACTTCCTTCTTGCCTTTCAGAAACCAAGTCCAGAGTTGTGACATTGAAGTTACTCTTCTCCTCCTTTAATTGCAGAGGTTGGAGCTTTATACAGATAATAATGAGACTTTTTCCAAGTGGGAAACGTGTTTCTACATTTGGGAAAAATGTGTTAATGAAGTCTGAACGTACAAAGCGCATTCCCTGGGCTGTCTTTTCCCTAATGCATCCCCCACACTGAGCACATGGTCAGCTAACAGGTGTCCAGCACACACCTGGCAGGGGTGGATGACATTATTATGTCATGACATCCTCCCTGTGAGGAGAACTGGAATGGCGTTTGGGCTGCAACCTCAGCAGTTCCTTGGCAGTGGCTGCATGGCTGAAGACAAGGGGATGGCATCTGTTTCTCTACACTGGCTAAACTCCACTGTTTTTCTATCATCCCTCCCTCTTGATCTCCGCAGCAGGGTTTCTCAACTTTAGCTGCATCAGGATTTCTTTAAGCACAGATGGCTTGCTCAGAAACCGTGCTTGGAGAACAACTGATCTGGAGAAATGAGAGTCTCCTATTTTGTTCTAATAAATTTACATGGCCTGATATTTTGTTTTTTGGATGCAATGCTATTCTTCTTGCCACCTTCCTAGTCTACACACGAGGGTGTGTCTGAAGCCAGTGAAAGACACCACATCCTGCTGCCCCTTACTCTTCTGTGTGTTTATCTTCACCACTACACCAATGCATCCTGGGTATTCTCTTCCACCTTGTAATCTCAGAAGCTTTAGGTTATTCTCCTGAACTCTGACCCCTGGATCCAGATAGAAACATTTTCTTGAATTCAGAAAAAAAATAATGATGGTTCAGGATCCTTAAAAAATTGCATCAGATGAATTAAACAGGCAAGGAATACTGTATTCATAACTAGTGCAATAGGAGTCAAGACTATTACAATAGGGGAGGGTGATTAAACTCAACCCTGCTGAGACAAAAGGCAGGGAAGTTTTTAGTGAGGTTGTGGAAAAGGACTTAGGCTTTAGAGAGGCGATTGGTCAATTTCATGTAGCCGTCTGTGTCTGCTCATTGGTGTTTATCAAAGTCAGGCGCTTACCCTCCCATAGACACTGACAGACAAGAGCACGATTTTTCTTCATGGTCACATTTCAAAGGCATGGCTCCTAAGTCCTCACTAGATCACACTTCAAATTGGAGTTCTGCAATGGCTCATTGGCGCCAGCTCTTTCTTCTGTCTAACCCCTCAGCCTGGATATGGGCATAATAATTTTCATAGGACCTTACGAGTCTGGGGACAGGAAGTTTTATTGTATTATTACTGTTGGCGTTATTGTTGAGTCTACACTGGTGTTAATGTTGGACCGTGACACCAGGTCACATGTGGCAAATCCTCAAACTCTGCAACTCGCACTGGGGCTCTGACCTCAGGGTCATAATATCATTGATGTGCTCTCAACATTACTCCTAGCATTCTCAAAATTCCTTTTAGATGCTTTATTTTTCTTCCCCTGTGTTATTCAGAACCTCATAACTATTTTAAACTGGTGAGATGGAGCATCCTAAATGAACTGGAAACTGTGTCCTTCTTAATAATCAAGTCATGGAAAAAGAGAAAATTCCCAACTGAGATCACTGTAGCGGTCCGTGGTATATTCATATACACCCACTTTCTTTTCAGGAGGCCATTGGGTCATGGTTAAATCCACATTAGTCTGTCAAGATCGAGTCCCAGCTCTGTCATTAGCTAGCTGTGTGAGTCAACTTGAGTTTTCTAACTTCTCTATGCTTCAATTCCCCTATCTATATAGACAATGATAAGGCTTCTTATTAGTGTTTATCCAGCTGCTCACACATACTAAATATTCAATAAATATCACCGTCCTCCTTCTCAAAAAGTATCACTCTCCACTGGCCCCTCTTCCCTGCAACTGCATGATATATTCCTATTGCTTGTTTTAAAATATTTCCAGTTTAATGTAAGGGTACATTTTAGAATCTTGAAAACAATGTTAACTATTCATTATGTATGTTAACCTTGAATGCCACAGAAGAATGCATTTTTAATGACATAAGTCAATAGTTGTGGGCTAATAATGTACAAAATTTACTGCATTCTGGTAAGCTATGATATCATCCAAATGATCTATTAGTTTAAATTTACAGAAACAGAAATTTTGGCTGGTGCATTTTCTTCTCCGATGCTCTGGTTAATATCCAATGCCCAGAACAGCCATGGTCAAGGTCTCTAGAGCTGCTTGACTCTGGTTTCAGTGAAGGAAAGCGAGTGCCTAATGGGCATGGGAAGTAGCAGGTGTTTCTTTGTCCCCAGAGGAAGGAGCAGGAGATAATTATGGTTCAATTCCATCTTGGGGGCTTCTGAACACTAAACCAGTTACCTGCATATTTGAGAAATCCACAGTGGGACTTTACTCTTGTGTTATCTGAAGAATACTCCATCACTATAATGAAGACCAAGCCCTCCTTGATCTACCTCTTGGCTATATTAGAAATACCACGGAAATAAGATTTCTGCAAACATGTACAACAAGGTACAGATGATGAGCACTTCCAATAGGAGTGATCCACTTTTTCCACTCACCTCTGGGGGAAAAGATTATTTCCAGCTCTGTGCCTTCAAAATTGAGGGATTTTTTTTTTGGTTGTTGGAGAACCAGTATTTTAAAATCATCTCATGATCAGCACTTCACAGGACTCCTGCCAGCTCAGGACATTTCCATGGCATAAATTACTCAGGGTGACAGTACTTTTCAGGCACTGAGTTAAGAGCTTTAGGGTACCATTTACCAATTAATCACTCATGTGGCATGTGAGAAGGCCAGAAGGGAGTGTTCATTCTTAATCTCTGCTTTTTCAGGAAATTGAGACATCAGAAAAATATGTAGTAGATATTTCAATAAAATGTGAGGCCAAAGTATAGGAGGGGCATGAATTATTCTTGCCCTGCAGCACTCACCTCAAACTCTTTAATGACAGATTATTTAAAGTAGCATTTAGACCCAGAGCTGTGGTCTCCGTCCTCTTCTGTGTTGAACAATGTGTTGATCTGTGTCTCCATGGTAGGTTCTGAGTCATCCAGCAGTGCAGGCTCCTCCGGATCGCTGTCCCGCACCCATCCTTCTCACCAGAGTGCACCCCTGGTCTCAGGTGTGGCGGCCAGTTCTCCTGGCTGTGTGCCCTATCCGGACAGTGGAATGGGGGGCCAGGTCGGTTCCAGCAGCACCAGCTACATCCTCCTTCCACTGGAAGCTGCAACAGGCATCCCACCGGGAAGCATCCTTCTTAATCCACACACAGGTTAGTATATCACCTCTGCTTGGGCAGGGACTCAAGACCAGTGTTTGTTCTTGTGGTCGATCTCATGATTTTAATAGGGAGTTGTTGTTTTTTTTTATTTCTGAGCGGGAGAGCTTGTTGCATGAACTGCTATGGAAGGTCTTGATTTAGGAAGAGCAGATCTACTGATAAAATCTATATCTCCATATTGGAAAAGTATTGATAAAGATATATAGATATAGATACTTCCTGGAAATCTATGCTTTTCTCTCTGTTCTCTCTTTGCTGACCACAGAATTTCTCAGGTATTTCTAGGAAATGAGATCAGAAATCAGTGAGGGTTGAATTGGGATATACTAATTAAAAATCTGTGTTTCTCAAAATAAATTCATGAGCAGCCCATTATGTTAAAAAGTGTTTTTGCATCCAAAATATTTAAGGAACTGGAGATATTAATTGGGACACATAGTAGATCCTTAACTATAGAAGATGCTTTCTGACCTTGCAACTCCTACCAGAGAATAAGGAATAGCTGTGGTAATGAACCTACAGGAGCAAATTCTTATGTATTTTAGAGATTTTAGGCCTAGACTGGTTTCGGTGGGGGTTGCAGAATTGGTAACTTCATGATTATAGTTTCTTCAAAAGTGAATGACTACTGGTTGTTATTTTTAAATTTCTCTAGTGGTCAGTTAACTTCCATGCTGCTTCCATAGGATCCCAGCCATTGAGCCAATAGAATGTTGAACATCTGCTTCTAGGGGACACTTCCCAAGCAGGGTAATGGTGCCCAGGCTTCAAGGCCATTTGACAATATCTACAGACATTTTGATGATCATGACCTAGGGAGGAGGAGGCTGCTACTGGCATCTAAGAAGGTAGAGGCCAGAGATCCTACTAAACAGCCTGCAGTGCACAGGTCAGCTCCTTCCAACAGAGGATTATGCAGCCCAAAATGTTGGGAGAGCAGTGGTTGAGAAACCCTGGGTTGGAAGGTTTTACATTGACTAGTCATGTCTTTAGAAGCCTTTCCGGTGATTGAATTGTCTCAAAAATACATCTGGCATTGGGTTTAGGTTATTGCAGAGTGTTTCTTTGACTGGCTAACCTTGAAAATGCAAAACCGGATGTGAATCTCAAAAAAATGTACTGACTCTATCTTCTCACATATATAGCACCACTAGTAATTAGGAAATTCAGAGAAACATGAGAATGATAGTAAAATAGTTACTTGAATAATTGCCACATTTTCATGAAAACATATGGCACATTCTCAAGGCAGAGTGTTTGATTGAGACATTTTAAAAATGCCGTCAGCTTTGGGGAAAAGAAGGCATAATCATTTTATTGAAAACCATTTGAAAGCTTTCTGATTAGATACTTCTAAGGAGAATATTAGATTGCTTTTATTTTATTTGGATCATTGTAAAGCACTATAAAAGAAATTAAAAAGAAAACTAGGATCATATTCATTACTCTGGGCGCTGTTCAAAGTATGATCTGACTTTGTTGGCTTAAACTCTTTCACTTTTAATTGAGATGGAAAGCTTGCAGACAAGAGCTCAGAACTCAGCATTAGTTTTGAGTGGTTTGTTTTCAGCAAAATTGCAGAATGTTTCAAAAAAAAGCACAACAGCATATTTTAGGGTACAATACAAGAATATTATTTGCAATGATAGTGTGGTTGTGCCTGTGCATGTGTATATTATCATCTGTAATCTTGTTTACAGAAAGAGAAAGACAGTGCTTTCGGGTGCCAAGTCCCAATTCTTATTCATTGGATGGAGCCATTTAGAGCTATTATCAAAATATTTCCTTTCAAAGAGGATCCCGACGAAGACGTGGGATCTAATAACACTGTCGATCAGCTTTGCTGTACACATTTCTCTGATCTGACAAATGCTGGACATTATAATATCCCTAGACTGGAAGGAGAATATATTAATAAAGAAAAAAAATATCCGTAGACCAGAAGGAGATGTAAGATGAATTAAGATGTTTTTTCTTTTACAGAATTTGTTTATTTTTGTAAATGGAAAACATGCACATGCATGTATGTCTATGTGTGGACATGTGCTTGCGGTGTGTATATGTAAATATATAACTATCTATTAAATCTAATATCTTATAAGTCTCTACTATTGAAACAGGAAATTTGCCTGCTTTGGGCTGGAACTCATCTTTCTCTGTCATTGCTGTGAACTCCTGAAATGCATACTTCTCATCCTCTGCCAAATACGCGGTAGAAATGATTGGTGTTGGGAACCAAGAGCATATAACTACTTTGCTTCTTCTGTCAATTGTCCTTGGGTTCATTTCCTTGTTATCAGCACATCTATAACCCCCTGTGGGAAGGGATCATCCTTGGCTATTGTTTCTTTTTACCTCCCTAGAGTGGATAACAGTATTCTCAGGCACCATGCTTAGACCCGGGTGCTCAATAATTGCATATTATTGAAATGTTATCAACTACCCATTAGAGATATTGAGGTGGATATCAAGCAGGTTTTCATATAGTGTCTCATATATGAGAACGTGGTTCATGGATAAAATTATGACTGATGAAATATCTGTCTCAAGCAAGATTAAGACAAGCAATGATTTGAAAATACAAGGGTGCCTGCCAGTCACATCTACTAAATGAAACAAAAATGAAACCTCCTTTGTCAGCACCACTGACTCGGCTCTTGCTAAGTACAGAAGAGTGAACAAATATTCTTGCAGTTTTCCAAACACAGCCACAAATTTTAATTTTGCCTGGCCTTATTCTCAGCACTCAGCTGGTCTCCTCCTCACTCAGGACCTCTGGCCCACCCTCCCCCTGCTTTTCAGGGACCTGGATGAGTGACTTGCTGCAGCAGGCCTTTTTCAAAGTCACCCCTCTGTAAAGTCTTCGTCTTTGCCAGGCAAACCTGGGTTGAGTCTTGACCTTGATCTTTCCCCAGCTGTCTTGGACTCAAACTCCCTTTGGAAATTTTTAGCAGAAGCTCATCTTTGTTTGGCTGTTTTCTTTCAACATTCAGACATGCCAATAGCCTTTGGCACCCCTCAAGTACTGGTTCATTCCCCATGTATGTTGTTATTCCTTTTCACTTTGCCCTCATTGGTGAACATTTGTGAGTGTGTGATGTCAGGGGCGTTCCTTCAGGAACTTCAGCTTGGCTGGTCTCTTTGAAATGGTCCTGATGGGCTTCCATGACCCTCTGGTTGTTATGTTTCACAAGACTTCTTGCATCTATTCATCCAAACTCCTTCTACCTTTTTCTTAAATGCACTATGAAGTTTTTGTATAGTATCTACAAACCTATCTTTGCAAGATATGAATTAATCCTTTCCTATCCACAATAAACAGCTCCTTTGTAATTTGACTGATCACTTTCTAAAACCTAGAAAAGGAAAATCTTTTTTTCACCCACATTCTTTCTTTTAAAATAAATACCTTTCTGCCAAGTCCATGGCAGTCTCGCTTTGGTGGTGGGAACCAAGAGCCTATCACTATTCTGCATCTTGTGTCAATTGCCCATGGGTTCATTTTCTTGTTACCAGCACATTTATAAGCTCTTTTGGGAGAGGGGGTCATAAATTGTTGTGTTTTGGGTTTTGTTTTGCATCCTAGAATGGATAACCAAGTCTTCATCTTTGTGCAGATGCTCAATAATTATATATTAGTAAAATAATGTCTAATACACATTATACATGTTGCTATGGAGAGGGGATAAATTGTTCACCTAATGTCATGTATTGGAGAGGAATGGGCACTGGGCACGGAGTCCTTCCCTCTGCCCTGGCTCAGTGCACAGCATTAGCTTCCCTCTGGAACTGCTCTCTCTGTGCCCACACCCGCACACACACCAGGCCTGTGGGGAGGCTGGTCCAGCTCCTGACCTGGAAACCTCTTCTAAGCTGGATAGTCCAAGGGCCAGCTAGTGTTGTCTCCTTCGGGCTTTAGCAGTTGTCAGCCATACTAATTATTTGTATTTGGTAGAATACAGAGACACCATCATAACCTGACTTGAAAACCAATAGTCCCCATCCTTGCTCTCTTAGGAAATTGTTCTCTTTCCTAGTATCCACCTTAACTCCTTTCATTTCCCTCCATGACTGTTACCTCTCCTTAATGAGCATAAATTCAATCTCTTATACTTTCTTCTTTCAGAAGAACCTGCCATCTCTCTCTGCCCAAGTGAATCCTTAGTACTTCTCATACACAATTATTTAGAAACATTCCTTTCTTCTGGACCACAGTGTGTTGATAATATTCAGACAGGGCATCTACAATTTATCAAAAGAACACTGAATATTTTGCAGTTACGTTTTTCACCCTAATTATGGTCAGCTTTTCATACTTCTCTGGGGCAAGTTGAAAGTTGTATAAAATATAATAGATTTTTTTATCTGCAAAGATGGGTGAGATTGCATATCTGAGGGGTGTTGGAAGAGCTAAGATCATGCATGTCAGCTGCCTGTCACTGTGCCTGCCACATTGGGAACCTGTTTGTCCTCCTCGTCACCTTCCTTTTCCTCCCCCTTTCCTCTCTTTCATTTGCTGCCCCACGCTCTCTTCCCTCCAGCTCCTTGTTCCCATAACCTTCCTGGTGGGCCTTCCTCTCCTCTCCTGAATCATGGGGAGGCCACCCCTTCCTTCCTTCATCCCAGAGCCACTGTGAGGCTCCAACAATACTATTCTGTGAAGATCCTCCCCAAATAATGGTAACAAAAAGTGAACTGTGCCATTATTTCAAGAGGCAAAACATTGTACTTCCCTTGGCCTTATTACCAGATGATCCCATGATAAGTTTATTATGGATAACCTTTAAAATCTAAACCCACATATATTCCTGTGGGTGTCTATTCAGAGAAGCAAGTGGGTGGATGTGGTATGTTCTGTTGGATACACATACACACACATGTGGTAACGACAATGATACCGAATTGGTGACAGAGCTAGGGAAGGTAAACAGACATATCGGTAAATAATGTGTACCCAAACTTTGCTGGAATTGTATAAAAAGAAAGCAGCCCCCTCAGGGTGTGTGTTATCCCACTGATGGCTGCGAGGTACGGGGCAGCAAAACACGAGACTCCGTGAAGATTGTTTCTCCGCTGGGTGCCACTGTGCACAGATGCACTGAGCTTTGGCAAATCTCCCTGAAGGTGGGAGATTTATTCACTGCTTCTTCAATTGCTCTGGGCTTACATTATTACCTGGGTTAACCGGGTGGGTCAAAAACATCCAAGTCTCTACAAGGTAAAGGCTCAGGGGTGCTAGGATCCCACTGCACTGCCCCTTTACTGTAGGTTGCTTTTTAAGTATCTGTCAGAGCAGTTCTTTCTGGCAAAGGGGAGATAAGGGGTTCACTGGGACCAAGCTCTGATTCCATCGCAGGCCAGCCCTTTGTGAATCCCGACGGCAGCCCTGCAGTGTACAACCCCCCCAGCAGTCAGCAGCCCCTGCGAGGCGCCGTGGTGGGGTCCCAGCAGCAGCCTCGGCAGCAGCCCTCTCCTCAGCCACAGCAGCAGGTGCCTCCGCCACAGCCACAAATGGCAGCAACGCTGGTCACTCAGGTAAGGAGCTGATGAGAAGGCAAGAAGAAGGCTTCAGAGTAGCACTGTATCAGGAAGAGGGTACATTCTCTGTCGGTACCACCTCTGTCCAGCTCTCAGTGAAACCTGGCAGCCTAGAGTGTACGGTTGCAGGTGAACAGGATTTCATCTGGATTTTTAAGTTTAGATAGAGATGAGTGTCCCATCCAGTGACTTACCTGGTGAGGGCATGGTACCAGGGAGAATGAGTGACAAGTTTTTTCTTAGGTCTAGATGCTATTTTTATGTATCAAGGAGCCTTTCTTGGGAACTAAACTTATATTCCCACCCAGGCCTTTGTACAATAGAATCTTGCTCACCCATTCCCAACACAGACCACGTTCGAGTCTGCAAAGAGTCAGTAGTAAGTTTTTTTAATCAAAGGGAATAGAAATCATTAATTCCAAGGTGACCTGACCATTCACACATCCCTTAGAGAGGTGTAGGGCTGTCCCCACTGTCTAGGGTGGCATGTGGCAATGCCCACAGAAACCTGAAGTGTCCCAGGTAGGTTGCTGGAGGTTAACCTTGTTTTAAATATTTTTTCCTCACCTCTTAGTCCCTGAAGGTAGTAGCCGTTATTTGGCAAATCTCCTCGAAGGTAGTAGATTTATTTGTTGGTTCTTAAATTACTCTAGGCTTACATTCTTATCTAGCTAAACCAGATGGGTCAAAAATAGCCAAGTATTCACATGGGAAAAGGTTCTGGGTCATATGCAAAGGCAATATTTTTAGACCCAGAGGATCTAACAACATGAAAATACAGCAGCACCTTCTCAAAGAAGAGTTCACTCTGAGCAGACAATGGCCTTGACCTCCCCCTGGAAGCTGGTTCCCCCCTCCAGAATGCACAGAACCAGGGGGACATGTGAGGGGCGGTGGGCGGTATCCTTCATCTACGCCAGCCTTCCTGTGGGACTTCATGCTCCGTGCTTCCCTGTGACCTGATCAACGTTTTTTTTTCCTCTAGTCTGTCCAGGGGCTGCAGGCTTCCTCCCAGTCAGTGCAATATCCAGCAGTCTCTTTTCCTCCCCAGCACCTCCTGCCTGTGTCCCCAACACAGCAGTTCCCCATGGTATGGATTACGTGTGTGCGGCTTGTCCCCTGGGAGGGCACACTCACTGGTTTTACCACATTCCTGTGCAGGGCTGGCTGATGCTGGGTGGGTGCCCTGGGCTGACCATGATGGCGTGTGTGCGAATGTCTCGTTCTAGAACATTTCAACCCATCTTCACAATGATGCTTGGTTGGTTTTTCTGTTATCTGGCCCATGTTGAGTGGTTCTGCAATCTGGTACCTTTTTAAGGGTTTACCAGCTCATCAGGAATTGAATGCCTTCAGAACTAGAAGTTGGAAACACAGAGACACATGAACTTGGTGTGAAGGCTTGGGAAATAACTTAAAGTCAGTGCCGAGGTGGTTACGGTCATCACCCTTATGCTCCTGATAAAGTTATGCCCTTCACATCCCCGTCCCTTTATTCCCCCTTCACTTTCCCTCCATGTACTAGGTCCTTCTGGACAATAAGAGCATTGGCCCTAAATCTCAGGCCAGGCCAGTGAACAAAGACTCTGTAATAAACAAATGGGGTCCCACCCAGCCTGTTGGTGATGCCAGTCCTGACTCCATCTTTGCAGCAGCCCCAGTGACAGTGGCCATGAGTCCCTCTTCCTCTCCCCGGAGGCAGATCTGTGGTCACTGCTGGGGAGACCGGCTGACCCTTCAGGACAGGGCACCCCACCATCCTTGTCTCAGCACCATCTTGAGGAGCCCAACTGTTAACAAAAGAAATAATTTGTTTCCACTGAAAGAGGGAGTTAGGGTCAGATTGGTTACCATCTCTGTCCCGTGGGATGATGAAATCGGTGTTCTTATGTTCCATTCTCCTGGACAGAGGATTCCTTCCTTTTATTTTTCCAAAGTGTCCTCCCTGCCTCTCCCACAAGGACAGGCATGTGGCTGGTGTCTGCTTCTATGTGCCTCTCCCATTACTAAGCTGATCTTGCTGATCTGCTCCTTCCTTTCTGGGTCTCACAGAGAGAAGAGGTGGCCACACAGTTTGGCCAGATGAACCTGAGCAGGCAATCCTCAGGAGAGACTCCTGAGCCCCCACCCGGCCCTGTCTACCCGCCACCCCTCATGCCCCAGCCAGGCCAGCAGCCCAGCTACGTCATCGCCTCCACGGGCCAGCAGCTCCCCACCGGCGGGTTCTCGGGCTCTGGACCTTCCATCTCCCAACAAGTCCTCCAGGCCCCTCCCTCACCACAGGGCTTTGTGCAACAGCCTCCACCTGCACAGGTAAGCAAGCTTTGTCTCACACCTGTGACCACAGGTGATTTGTGGTACGCTTGGGCCTCTCCAGTTCCAGGTAGTGTATCACCAGTTCAACATGTCTTGCTCTCCCGGTCCAGACTTACATTCCCCACCTGCAGGACCTGGTCTGTCCTGTTCATCGGCTGTGGAAAGCCCTGGGTCTCAGAAAGTATGTGTAAGAAAACTGACCCAACTGTCCATGCCAAGAGTACAATGGGGAAACATCCCAATTTCCAGATCGCTGGTACAGAGGCCAACATGAAAGCAGTCCCTTCCCTGTGGTGCCCTGCTCACTGGATTGCCTGGGAAGGGACGGCTGTGGGGAAGAAGAGTGCCTGCCCCTAGGAGACTTTCAACACCATCATGTTGCTGCTCTGGAAATTTGTTCTTTCTTTTCTTATCCATTCACAGCATTTTCTGGAGCTAGCCTGGTGCTCCAGGTAGGAGCCCCTCTTTACTCCACAGGGGAAAGCTAAGCTGACATCCACTGTCCTTTCCCTTCCCTCTTGGGAAGCCGAGCTCACTCGTGCACTCACAAGTAGCCATTAATCATATTTAATTGACTTGAGCATGTAAGACACCGCAGATCACTGATTTTTACTGTCTTCTCAAAGACTGATTATGTGTTACTGTTCACCACCAAACATCTCTGGTGCTCTCCAGGGTATCCCTGGCAGAATATTGCAAGTGATTACTGTCAAGATGTAAAATGCAGAGAGGCATCTTCTGGTCCATTTTCAATGCACACATATCCCAAGAAAATTCTGTCCTAATTATGAAATATTGTATTGGATGAGCTGCTTAAAGTACAGTGTCACCTTCTCATTATTTGTTTCACTGAATTAAGATCTTGAATAAATTATTTTCTTTTCAAGCCCTGCAGAACCCTCCACCAAGAAACAGTATTCACTCAGCTGTTCGTTTTCATTTAGGTGGTTAATTAATAGCTCATCTTCAGTTGCCTTCTCCATGATGTCTCTTTGCCAATAGAATGTAAAGAGTTGTGAAAAATAAGTTTAAGTTATAGGAGAAAGGGCCTCATTAATATGTCAATCATTTTGCTAATAAATTAAGTACTTTAAACTTAACTGTTGGAAAAATTATTCAGCTCTTTTGGCCCATATAGCATACAAGTGTTCCTATACATTTTTACTGTCAAAGAGATGGCAGAATATTTATTTCATTGAAGACTTTTTTATGGGAGTTCTTCCTGGATGAAAGAGCTTCAGTGTTAGTTGGGTGGCCAGAGCAAAAACAGCTCAGAGCCCAGGGTGTGTCTACAACAGAAGTGGCTTCTGCCATGGTAGTGATTTGATTCCCCTCTTCAACCAATGGAAAAATAGAAAGTGGAAGGGGGAAAAGAAAACAGCAGTTCATCATTCATGATTGGTTTGGATGTCCATGAATTTCTTTTCTAGAAGAACCACAGGCTGAAGTATAAGATAAAACCCATAGTGATTTTAAATTATTTTAGGAGACATTTTAAAATTTGGTCACTCAAGGATGGAACAATGAAAAGAAAGCTCGAGGTACAGTCCATGGGCAGATGTGGAAATGTGGAGACACGTCACATCTGCTTGTTTCATTGACCAAACACGACACAGAGGTAGTGTTTTAAAACAACCACCGCTGTGTGGGTTATGAGTAGTTCAGCCGGGATGGCTCTTCTCTGCTCAGGATGGTGTTGGCTGGGGCTGGAACATCCAAGATGGCCTCACACATGTGCCTAGAACGCAGCGTTGCCTCTCAAACGGGGCGCTAGATGGCCCTTTTCTCCAGCTGGATAGCCTGGAGTTCTCCTGGTGCCTGGGCCCTTCTCCCGCAAAAGTGGAAGCTGCACTGCACGTCTGCGTAAGGATCAGACTTGCAAGTCTCCAAAGCCACCATTTCTCAAAGCCAGCCACAGAGCCAGCTCAGATTCAAGGGCTGGGGAAACAGATTTCCCCTCTTCATAGGAGGAGTTGTGTGTACACACACACATACACACATGTAGGCCTAGGAGAGGATTTTGGCAGCTATGTTTATAATCTATTACAATTATATTATGCCACCCGATGACAGTACATTTTATAGTTTTAAAAAATGTTACTTAACCTACCATTGTCATTCCCTACTGTTTTTACCTTTCTTCCTCAGATGCCCATATATTACTACCCATCTGGCCAGTACCCTACCTCAACCACGCAGCAGTACCGGCCCATGGCCTCCGTTCAGTACAGTGCTCAGAGGGGTCAGCAGATGCCGCAGACAGCACAGCAAGCAGGTACTTGGAATCTGTCTCCCATTGCCTCCTCTAACCCAGTTATTCTTGCACATAAATCTCTCAGTGGTCCTCTCTGAATGGGAATCCGTGTGTGGCCATGGAAATCAGCTCATTTCCCTTACCCAGTGAAGATAATGGAGCATTTGATTAACTCTGTCCGGAAAAGGAACAGGTACAAGAAGGCGAATCTCCCATCACCGCAGCATCCCAGGCATGCATGCTAAATGCAGTCTCTGTGAATTATTTTTGGATCCTCCTAGTGTATTTTGAAGCAGAGAGCCAGCCACACCCCTGTCTTCCTAGTTCGTATCTTTCTTTTTCTTTTCTTTTTTTTCCTTTTTAACCTAAAGAGAATTCTCCCCCTGTTCCTCAGGCTAGGGGACCACATTAGGTTGTCTCTGTACCACCCTTACAAGCCCTGTCTTAAAAGAAGGCCACTGACCTTGCAGCCTGTGTCCCGGTGGAACCCTGACTCCTCGGCTCACTTTCTCAAGGGCCGCCCGCCTGCAGCCCGGAGCTCGGCAGCCGCTGTGCAGTGGGAAGGGGGGCCGATGCACTGTACGAGAGTGAGTAGCAGGTCTCACAGTGAACCGGTCTCTTTCCCTACTGTGTCACACTCCTAACCGGATGCCGTTACCCCAAGAGCAGCAGCAACCCAGCAGGGCTGAGTGGCTTGTGCTAGGGAGAGGTTTCTGTCCTTCCTGCTGACCGCACTGCAGGGAAAACTGCTAATTGTCACGCTGAAGACCGCCGGCTGCCTTCCTTCCGTAAGTAGGTCCTGTTAGAGCGCGTGCTTCCCGTGGCTGTTCATCAATGCCTGCTCCGTCATCTGTCATCTGGTTTCTGCACAAATATGTGTATATGTGTATAGGATATCTATAGACACATACATGCAATAGAAACAGGAGATGTACTATGTTCACAAGCTATGGCAAAAAGCACAGTCCTTGCCATGGATTAATACCGATGGCCATTCTAAGAATACTGCTAGCTTTTTGTCAGATTGAAAAGATAATTAAACGCCTCTGTTTTTTGGGTAGCTGTAGGTTCTTTAGTTCATCCTGTGGCCATTTCAAGTCTGTGGGAGAATTAGAGGAATGCACAGCCCCTGAGCAGAATTTGTCTTGTTTCAACACTGTGTTAGTTGGGGAATGATTATATTTTGACCTCTGAATTGACTTCACACTTTTTCAGTAATAAGAACACAAGGAGGTTTTAAATTATTAGTTATTTTAAAAAGCATTTGGTAATGTTTTCTCTGTTGGGGAATGTTACTATCTCTATCATTTGGTGGTAACTGTGGTATCAGTTTACATATCTACGAAGTAATGTGTTGTTTGCATCCTGCACTTATTTTCTTTTGCTGATGTTTACCAACGAATTAATTTATAACCTTCTAGACATTGGTCCAACGGCCATATCAAAGTTTTCCTGTTAGTTCCCAATGCCGTTAGAAGAAAGGTGCACGTATCTAATTATGCAAATGTTTTCAGTTTAGTTTGGTGCCAATGTGTGACAGTTTTCTAAACAGCTATTTCAGTCTTGTGTTAGAGTGGAGTCCGTAGATGGGAACGTGGTTACAAATGTTCTGGAACCCACTCACCCTGTAAACTCTGGGTCTACATGAGGGACGGGCCTGAGAAAGTCGGATGAATGTGTTAATGGGACGACAGACTTAGATTAGGAATAAGCCTCAGGTTTCCCACTAAATTCACTTATGAGTGTCCACACAAGGGAAAATACGTGTGACACTTTTTACTTTTTTTAAAAGACTGGGATGCGGAAACCACCCTCCCATCCTAAAGAGACCTAACTGGTCTCTACTGCATTTTGTGGCAGCCTGGTGGCATTGACTGGCTCCATGCTCCCCACTCACCATGGAGGTGCCACCCCCGAGGTGCAATAGTGACACTGCAATTAGAAAAATGCAATTCTAAAGCAGTATCCTACTCAAAATAGAAGCAAGTGTTTCTGATGTTAAGGAAGGGGAGTTGGGGAGAGGAGAAAAGAGAAATGATACACGAACAGTATCTTCTCCAGAAACAAGACATCAGTAGACACAGGGGACTGAGACATTTGAGCTCCTCCTCTCTGTGGCAGTCCCAGGGATATCAGACCCGAAACCCAATGCAGTGTGCACTTTGGTGTTGAATTCACCGAATGTTCGGGAAGGCAGATGATCTCCCCTGGCCTCCCTGAGAATCGCCTCTGCTGGTAAAATGCAGGTAACCCAGCACATGCAATGTCTTCTGACAGTGCCCGCAGGCTCCTGGTCCTGTAGTTGGCAGGCCTTTTGCTGAGCTCAGGTGACACTATTAGAGACTTTCCATAAGGACACAGCAGGGTTATTTGGGGGAGCAACCCTTTGTCGGAGGACTATCCCAGAGAGGAAAGAGCCTCTTTGGGTAATATAAAAGTCAGACTTCCTGGAGGATCTTGAAGATAGGCCCTTTCTCTCTCTTTAAATTGACCTTGGACCTGTGTTGGCAATGGCACGCTACACAGTGACGCCCTGCCTCATGCTCCCTCTTGTCCCCTGCAGTTTTCTGTCTTGAATCCGACCCTCTCCCATCTTCTGCTGGTACCGACACCAGACTGTATCATAGAAAACTCAGCTATCACGTGATAAGCATTAGAATGGGACCAGATCATGTCAGCTGTAGCCAAATGAGATGTTAATCTCAATTCTCTTCTTGGCACTGTTCTTAATCTTCATTTAATTACAGTTGAAAAGTGTTTATTTCTTTTCCTGCATTCTTGAAAGAATTGAAATTGCTGTGAGTTACTACATCTTTCCAAGGCCTTAGAACTATACATGGTGGAATTTTAGAAAGTGAATTGGGTATTTCATAATTGATAAATAGGTGGGCATTTGAGTTACACTGAGACCCTGTGAGGGGACATAAAGTCGTCCTCTGAGTGATTTTGTACTCTTTACCCTACCAGTGGGTGATGAATGTGCTAAGCATGTGGCAGACAGTGCTAATGCTGATGGTGATTATAAATAAAGGCCATTAATGTTAAGAAACTTTGAAGAAATTAAATGGTAAACTTGCCCAGTGGCATCTGAATTTTGCAGCAACATATGTGAGGAAAATACAAACCTTTAACATAGAAATTTTTCTAGTGAAAAAACCATTTATTGTCAGTTTGGCATTATCAGGTAGTGATTGTTGATAACCAAAGACTCCAATACAAGGCAGTTACCAGGTTATAGCTTAAAAAAATAAATCTATGGTTTTCAAATCATTCTGGCTTTGAAAAACTTGGACATGCATGCCTTACTTGATAGCATATTTGTCTCGGTGGTCAAATAGTGAAATGAATTGCTGAGGAACAAACCTTTCGGTCCTTAATGTTTAGGTTTATTTTAGTAGTCAATTATCATACTGCTTTTAGTAAACACCTATGTTGTTATGATTTTACTCTTGATTAATAACATCCCAAGGTCACAGAAATGTTAATTATAATTATACCCACCATGAGATCGGGATCCCCTATGGGTTAGTTGGTGCTAAGAGTTTACCAACATTACAATGTTTAATCCCCATCACAAATTTCCAAGGGAAATATGAGCTGTAGCACTCCTGTTTGACAGACAGGTAAGCTATTGCACAGAGAGATGAAGTAAGCTCCTCCACCTCACAAGGTTGATGGAGTTGGGAGGAGCACCAAATGACAATGATTTTAAGCCTGAGCAAAATCCATTTCATGATGACAACATAAGCACAGTTACTGGTTTTGTCATTACTGGCTGGCACAGATGATCACACAGAAATCTGCGTGTCGAAACTAAATAGCATGCCCACCTTGCAGAAGCAGGTAACATTTAATTATTTATTCAAATGCACAAGTAGGTTTTGATAGCAGAACGCATCAGGAACCCTGGACTTGTGCTTCCTGATGCACCATGGGCTTCCACTCTGCTTTCCAGAGCTGGACAATAGCAAATGGCGGAGGGCAGCTAAGACATTCATGCATGAGACATACTTTGGAAAGGGGGGCAGGAAGAAAACTTTTCGTGTCTCCAGCTCCAAATTCCCTTTGTAATTTGACTTAAAAGGAAGTGTATGTAGCTTTGTTCTCAGCTCTCTAAAATCTTGGACATGTCCTAAGTGTGATACGAGCTCATAAAGTCCTGCATGCATTTATCAATGGGCGTTTGGGGATGGCTAAGTCTCGGTTTGGTATCAGAATAACGCTGGCCTCAGAACATGAACTGGGAAGTGTTTCATTCTCCTTTTGAAAAAAAATTGTGTAAAATTTGTGATAAATTTTTTTCATGTTTAATAGACCACGCCAATGAAACCATGTGGTTCTTGAGATTTTTACAGTGGAAGTATTATTGTTTACTCTTTATTTGAAGATAGTTTCCAAAGGTGTTTAATTATGGATTCCATTAATTATGGTTATAGGACAACTAAGATCATTTGTTTCATCTTCGCTGACTTTCAGTAATTTGTCGTCATTGAAGAATTGGCTATTTCATCTAAGTTGCTGAATTCAGGACTGTAAAATTGTTAGTGTTACTTCTTTATTATCCTTTTAATGAATAACAGACATGTTGTAGTATCCTGTTTCCTTCTTGATGCTGCTGATGTTTCAATTCTCTTGTTTTGCTTTTGTCAGTCTTGCTAGATTTATCAAGCATATTGATCTTTTCAAAGAACTAGCTGTTTCTTTCACGGATTGTTTCAATTTATTTTTTATAATTTCATTGACTGCTGTATTTACCTTTATTATTTCCTTCATTCTGCTCACTCTAGGTTTATTTTGCTCTATGTTTTTGTAGTTTCTCAAGGAAGAGAGTTAGGTTATTTACTTGAAAACTTTCTAATGTAAAGCATTTAGTGCTGAGTCTCTCAGCTCTGCTTTAGCTGTGCCACACATATTTTTATACAGTACATTTTCTTTTTTTTTATCTTTAAAGATTTTATTTATTTATTTTCAGAGAGAGCAGAAAGGAAGGATAAAGAGAGGGAGAGAAATGTTGATTGGTT